AGTAGATCTAAGGAAATTTACTTGGTCTGATGTTGATGATGATTTCATTGGTAATTTGAATGAAACAAAAGTTTGATTGGCAGCAGCTGCAATTGTTAAAATTACCATGCAAAATGGACCAACGCCAGCAATGGTAAAAATTTTGGTGATTGTTCCTGAACTTGCATGGAAATATTAGAGATGTCAACATAAGTCCAACCAACATCAAGGTTGGTCAAAATTTTATTGATTGATGTCCATTCTAGACAGTCTCCTAATACAAAGCGCTTATTCTTTGGATGGATCAGGTCCAAACTTGTACGATCGTCTTTGTCCCATTAGATTACACACTAAATGGGGCGACTCTTTGACCAAGCCTGCGGACTTGTGCCTCAACAGACAAAACCAATGCTTTAAATTGTAGTATGGATAATAATAATAATAATAATATGAATACTAATTTTAACTCTTGCTTTCTCACTCATTAAACGATGGCATAAATACTGGTTTTAATCCTCACCTTTCCAGCCTTCCATGTTGCTTTCGTTTCCCTTGGGTTCACAGTCAAAATCACGGCGATGTCAAAATGTTTTGTGCGATAGACTTTTGCAATTTTTTAAAATGCGGAGCTAAACCCAAATTCGGTCAGTCTTATGCATCCTTTGCAACCATTTGATCCAAAAACGTCTTAAAAATGGAGTCTTTGGCATGCACAAAGCATTACCCGCATCCGCCAACCTTTCTGATTCTTCTATGGCATATATTTTCCCCGTTGATTTCTCTTCCCTATCCGAATTTTCTTTCCTGGCTGGCTGCAACTTGGGAAGTCAAGCGAGAATGTATCGGAGAATTCACCCAAAGCAATTGTTTGTGTTGTGCATTTATAGTCTCTTAGAGTTCCTAATCCCTTGCTTTCCATCCATCTTTGTCTTCTTTAACTCACCTTTCCTGCAATGGGATACCTATATAACCAACTGGCCACAGCAAGGCAATATTCAGCCGGGGCTGAAGGGTCAGCGGTCACCTTACCATCCATGGAAAGAGTTACTTGTTTTGGGCTGCAACTAGGGATGGCAAACATATTTGAAAATATTTGAAAAATTGCCCAAAACCCATGTTTTTAAAGTGTTGAGAAACTTGATGGGAAGAACCCTGGACTTACAAGACTTTTTGCAGTTCAGGATTTGTTCTTCACAAAATTCACTTGCAGGAGATTTGCAAAGAAAGCATTTTTCTGCATGAGAAATGGCATTTTCTGGGCAGAACCTAATATTTCTATGCATGAATATTATTTCTTTGGCAGGAAATTCATGTGTAGAAAATGTTGTAATTGGGGATTTAGTCTGCCCAAAATTCACATGTGGGAGATTTGCATAGAAAAGAATATTTCTCTGTATTTTCTGTGCAGAAAATAATATTTCTGTGCAGGAATATTATTTCTTTGGCTGAAAATTTATGTATAGGAAATGGTGTAATTGGGGACTTACTCTGCTCAAGATTCACATTTGCATAGAAAATTTAGCAGATTTGTTTGGAAAATGTAGCGTCACGTAGCATTGCATTGTGACAGTTAAAGCAGTGTAGATGAAGCCTTAGTTAAGTATACTTAACTATGAATTAGTTAGATATAATTAACTAAGCTGATATAGGATTCTGCAAAAATGGGGGGGGGTTGTTTTTGAAATTCAGGATGCAACCATTTCAGCTCATGGTCCAACATATATTAATAATAATAATAAATTTTTATTTGTAGCCCGCCCCTCTGCAGAGCAATCGGGGCGGGGGACAACAGCATTTAAAACAGAATGCTTTTTTTATTTATTTATTAACATATTTATTTATTTATTTATTTATTTATTTATTATTTTTATTTATTAACATATATTGAGTGTCCTGGATTGGGGAAAGCCACCACAAATTTTGTGCAAACAGGGTGACCTCTGACCTTTCAACCCTTAACCAACCTTCTGTCGGGCTTCGAGGACGGGACTTAACTAGTCGGTAGCGGTAGTGATTGGGCCCTTGCGTGACTATTTGAACTGGTTGTGTGCCTCCTCCCAACCCGCGCCCTCTCTATCGACCCTCCTCCTCCTCCTCCTCTTCTTCTCTATAGCCTTCTACACAGCCTCCCCGCTCACCTCCGCCGGGATCCTGCCGGTGATGCAGTCTCTATGTCCCGACGGACAACGAGATGAATTTGGGTTCTTGCAATACTCCAACTCCAAGTGAGTCCTGCTCTGTTTCTATACTGACTTGCTTATATGGTTGACCCCACACACACACTTTTGCGGATTTGATTATTCACGGATTTGATCAATACATTCTCTCTAGGAATCTCTTAAGCCCTCCAGTGTGACTCTGCTGGAAGTTGACCATAGAGTCACACTGGAGGACCTAAATATTCCTAGAGAAAACACTTCTCTAGGCAGTGTATAGGTCCTCCAGCATGATACCATGGTCAGTGCCTTGAATCCCATTGTGGGAGAAAGGTGGGATATAAATCTTTGAAATAAATAAAATTTGAAATAAACTTCTGGTGGATGTAGACCATAGAGTTGTGCTGAAGGACATAGAGATTCCTAGAGAGGTATTCTCTCAGGTTTAAAAAAAATTAGGGTTTTTTTAATTGGCAGTTTTCCCACTTTTATGGGGGTCCTGTACCGTAACCCCATCAAATGTGGAGGGCCCACTGTAGTTCTTTTGCTCCAGGTATGCAAAATTTATATCCTGCTTTTCTCCCTATAGGAGACCTGGGGTGGCTCACAATGTAGATTAAAACAAAATACAGCCTTAAAAACACCTTTTTCTTCCCGCTTGCTGATTAAAGTGTGATAGTAATGACTCTTTTTGTAGCTGTGTTTTGTTTTATGATGCGTGATGAGCTACCTTGGGTCCTGTATTGGGAGAAAGGTGGGGTATTAATTAGTTCATTAGTAATTATTAATACTCCCTGCACTCACCGCTCTAATGTTTGGCTTTGGGAAGAATAATGCTCGGCTGCTCCCTTCCTGCAGAGTAACTCAGTTGCTGGAGCGGCTCAATGAGGTGGTGGAGAAAAGTAACTTGTTTGACCCAAATAATGCTGGGCTGGAAGAGGAGCTGGAGTCGTTGCGGCATCACCTGGAGTCTTTGGGCAGCAACGAACCCACCGCCATGGAGACTCACTTCAGCAACCAGGCCGGTAGGTTTTGAGTTTGGAAATCCCATCAATTGGGGGAGAAAGACCATGTGGCTGAGTGGTTAAGGCCCCTTGCTGAGCCTCCAAGGGGTCCCTGGTGCTAAAGATCCGATAGTGGATGATGCCAAAGAAGCTCCTCTCCCGGAGACCCTGTCCCAAACACAGTCTGGGCAACCAGCCAAAGGATGACTGCTACACAGCTTTTTTTTTTTAATTAATTAAAAAAAACCAGAAATTAACATTACAAATGTAGATCAAGAACACAAAAAACCTTGACAATGCCTACATAGAATATAGGGCGTGAGTTATGTTATCCTGATCTTGAAATACAAATACAATTGCAATGCAATTATTTGTTCAATTGGATCAATCCTTTCCAAACGAAACCATCAGTGAATAGAACATGACTTTCCTCATTAATTTGATTTACATAGGATCTAAAGGGGAACCACGTTGCCTCAAAGGTATTATTATCTTTCTGTTCTTTTGCTCGTCTTACTTGCCGTGTTAGTCTTTCAAACCTTTTTATACCATAGGTCTTAGCTGTGTGCTATAGGGTTCTTCCAATTGCTGGCAATAACCTGTCTGGCTGCAAATCTTTATGTATTATTTCTTTATGTTGATGACTGCTACACAGCCGATAGTCAGCAGCACAGAGTGGCTTACAGTTCAGGATATACTTTACTTTAATAAATACAAGCTTTAAGTCCCAAACAGAGTTCAGCAATGTCCAATGTCACGGTGTTCCTCCCTGTGTTTTCTTCTCCATCTTGGTCCCGTCAGCTCCTGGGTTCACGCTGGACTCGGCCACCAAGGACAAGCTGGAGTTCCACCGATTTCTCACCCAGAACCTCTCCCTGTCCAACGAGACGGCCGAACTCTTGACGGGCTCCAGGGTGAACCTCAAAGAGGTGCGTGGAAATGTCAAACCTTGAAACTATATCTCCATATAGAAAATGCATGGGTGTAGACAACTGGGAATCCTGCTCCATCACTCAAAGTCTTACTCCACATTGACTCCGTCTTTGCTTTAGAAACTGGAAACCAAAGATCTTAAGTAATGCGATCAGACTGGCTCTCTTTTCTCAGGTGTATCGGCTGTTCTTTGGCACCTCGCCTGGCTCTTCGGATGCATTTCAAGAGCCTTGGGACCGATTCAACGCTGCAGAGAAGCTTCTTCACCTAGAGGTGAGAGGAACCCCATTACTTGTTCTTGGTTACTCCAGGGAGGATGCTATGAGTAGATGGGGTTGCTTAGAGTCTCCCAGCAAGCTGTAGACCACATTGACCTTTCATTTCTCCACAGCTGTTTCCAAGATCCTTAAATCCAGGCAAATAAACAAAGGGTTCTCTTTGTTTATAGAAAACCTCAGGGGTTGAACTTGTCTTCCTTCCCAGATGGCCATGCCCCCTTTCCTATGGCATTGTTTTTTGGTGGTTTCCTGGCTTTCACTCAGGTTTCCCAATCCTTGCAGGGTAGAAAAAAGCCCCATGTTTGCAGGAGGGTTTGTGAGTGCAGATTCAAGATAGACTCAATCGATTCATGAGCAGGGTTGCTGATGACCGGATGGCTTGGAAGTCCAGGTTTTAGGGTCATGACAAGTCAAAATTAATGACTTGTTAAAAACCATAACTTGAGGAGCCATTTTAATAATGAACTCTCTGAGCAAATTGTAAATTTTTCTGTTGTTGTGTGCCTTCAAGGCATTTCCAGCTTATGGTGACCCTAAGGTGAACCTATCATGGGGTTTTCTTGGCACAATTTGGTCAAGGAGAAGTTGCCATTGTCTTCTTCTGAGACTGAGAGAGTGAGACATGCCCAAGGACACCCAGTGGGTTTCCATGGCCAAGCTGAGATTTGAACCCTGGTCTCCAGAGTCATAGTCCAACGCCCAGACCACTATGCCATGCTAACCCTAACCCTAACTTTTTCTACACTGTGTTTCTATCTAATCAAGCTCTCTCTCTGTGAAACCCACTTTGCTTTCAGGAAGGCCTTCTGGGAAGTTTGAGGAATACTGATGATGGGCTCATCCACCAAGCGCTGCGCTACCCTCAGGAGGGTTCGCACAAGAAAGCCCTGATCCACCTCCTCTCCCATGCCTTTGGCCTCCCCAGTCCGGCAGCAGAGCCCACTAGTCCCTATGGCCCTCAGGCCTTTGTGAAGGACATGGAGGTGAGAGTCCAAAGAGGGAAGGAAGGCTCCGGTTGCGGGGGGGGGGACACACAAAATGACGAGGAAGCTGTTGGGGCCTCTCTTGAGACCCTCCTCTGGGCTGGAGCTGATGACCGACAACACAAGTGGTAGTAACACCATTACTAGTGCATATTTGGTTCAAGATGGGCTCAAGCATATCATTTCTGGAAGTTCAAAGGGACATCTCCATTTATTCCAAGGGCTCTGTTTGTTTGTAGGAAACCTTAAGGGTTGAACTTGTCCCTCCTTCCCTATTGCATTGTTGTTCGGGAGGCAGGGCCAATTTCTGTATAATCCATTTGTTCTCCCAATTCCTCAGAACATCCTTCTCACGCCCACCATACTAGAGAGCCTCACTTGCCGTCCGGGCCAGAACAAGTTGAAACGGCTCCTGATGGTCCCGGAAAGGCAGCGTCCGCTCCTGAAAGCGTACCAGGCGGCCGTCTGCAACCGGAGTGCCAGCCTGCGCAAAGACTATTTTGGACAGCTGGCATCAGAATTGAAGGAACAGCTGGATGCGCCCAAGATCATCAACCAGGTAAGTATGGGAAGGACAAGGAGGAAGAGGGAACCTTGTAAATCGGTCATCCCAGGGTCCTGGCACCATCACTCCTTTGGGACTCATGCCAGGCATTTGGCATCGATGCAAAGCTGTGGAGCTTGGCAGCTGACTGGGACGGTTGCCAACCAGCCAGGTGGGTCCACCTGTTGAACTGAATTGCAAATGGTTGGGAAAGTGTTGCACCTATTTAAGGCCAGTTCTTCAGATTTTGCATCAGTTGTAGATGCTTACATGGGTATGAAGGACTGCCATATTCATTTAGTGTGGAGATGGGAAAATTGCAGGTTGTGGGCCCTATGTGGTCCCTGAAGCCCCCAACATTCCTCCATGTGTGTCCCCCACCAACCATCTGAAAACTACTGTAAATTTTTTGGATGCAATTCTTGGCAGGTTTTGGCCCTGAGCCCTAAGGACATGAAGATGCCTGATCCCGCAAGCACCCTATTCCTCTGCATTCCCTCTCAAAATGACAATAGACAAAGTGATGTGATATAACTTCCTGTCACCATTTTGAGAAGAACTGCAGATGAATCCAGAGTTTATGTTTATGGAAGTTAGTGCATATAGTGGATGAGACTTGGAAGATCCAGATTTCACTCTCCAGATGAGCCATGAAAACTCACTGGGTGGGTCATTTTTGGATCAGTCTCTCAATCTCTGTCTCCTATTCCCTTCCCATCTGACCTGCCTCACAGGGTTGTACTGAGGATGAATAGAGCCACTCACGCAAGATGGAGCTCGTAGGCAGAAAGGGAGGATAATAAATAGAATAAAGTAGTTAATGGCAATAAATAGAGAATGGAGCCTATGGAAAGGTCGAGAGGCGTCTATGTCGATGATTCCCATCTCTTTCTCACGGCAGCTGAAACTCGATGAGGTGAATGGCACGGTGGCTCGGAGCCGCCTCCACGCCTTGCTGGAAGACCTCATGGAGATGCAGAATGTCCTGAAGGAGGTGGACATCCTCTCAGCCTTGGCCAAGCTGCTCCCCAAGGGTGCGTGTGCCGCCAAAATGGCCCCCAGCGTCTCCAACGCCACCAGCCCCAACGGAGGGAACTTCACCTCGGGCACCAACTCCAGCTTGGAGGACGGCAAGGGGGAGGGGGAGACCCCCACAGAAGACCCCCAGGGCCAGTGTTCGGCCTTCGTCCAGCTCTGGGCCGGCCTTCAGCCCATCCTCTGCGGCAACAACCGGTAAGGTCTCCTCCTCAGACGCTTGGAACTACTGGACGCTTGGTTCCAGGTTGACTTTGGAAAGCTGGTGTTGAATTTTTGGAGGGTACTTTTCTTCCCTTCCCCCCCAATGCCACCCACCAATTCCCATGTAAATTTATTATACATCAATACTGTAACCTTATATCTTGGATATGTAGCTTTCCAAGCTCTAGTCAGTCAAATATACTCGTCCCTCGCCATTCGCGATCTTGCCGTTCGCATCCCTCGCTCCTTCGCAGATAGCAAGCCGTGAGGAACAAAATGGTACATGCCCCCAAGGCGACGCACACGCCATGCCATGCGCAGGAGCATGCCCCCATTAGAACTAATGGGGTTCCAGTATTGGCGATTTTCCCAATTTGTGGGGGGTCTTGAACAGATCCAACGTGACTTGGGCGGAATGACTGTACAGATGCCCCTTCTTTTTTGTGGGGGAATCCGTTCAGGACCTCCCTCCTCATGAAAATGAAAAATCATAGATATTCAAGCCCCATTGTCTTGAATGGTCTTGCGCTGCTGAGCGCGGCTCTGAGTGCACCACAGGCGCATGTGCCATTTTAACCAATGGAGATCGCCCCTCTGTAAATAATCAAGACCATGGACTTAAGTTCGCTAAAACAACAACAAATAACCCAGTTTCTCCCTTCCTTTCTTCCTTGCAGGACCATTGAGCCAGAAGCCCTGAAACAGGGGAACATGAGCTCTTTGGGGTTCACCAGCAAAGAGCAGCGTAATTTGGGGCTCCTCGTCCACCTCATGACCAGTAACCCCAAAATCCTCTACTCCCCCGTCGGCACTGAAGTGGACAAGGTCATCCTGAAGGTGAGATTCCCCCAAAAAAGGTTGATAGTAGCTGCAGATATTCAAAGCTCCTCTTGTTGCAAGAAGTTAGGAGGCAAAGGATTGTCCAGATATTAAGGACTTTTCCTGATGGAGGAAAGAATGCAGAAAGGGGGTCAACAGAGCCTCCCTCGGGAGGGAATTCCCAGGATCCATTAGCCAGCATGGAGGGGGGTTGTGGGAGCTGTAGTTCAGCTTGGACTCTCTGTTCCTTTGTCCTCCGGCTCTTCCAATCCAGGCCAATGAGACGTTCGCATTCGTGGGGAATGTGACTCGCTACGCTCAGGTCTGGCTGAACGTTTCGGCCGAGATCCGCAGCTTCCTGGAGGAGGGCAAGCTGCAGCAACGGATCCGGTGGCTACGGCAGGTATGCTGGCCTATGGTCAGGATGACCCCGGAAATGGTGGAACAAACATCCGGTGCTTCCGTTCAATGGCAATAAAAGGGGTGCAGAACAAGTAATGTGGCCCCTTCGATCTTTTGCAAGAAGGGCCAAAGCAAAGTTGTAATTTCCAAAGCAATGCAATGGATGGGAACAAGGTTGATGTGATAAGCAGAGCTTCCTTTGTTGCTTTTTGCATTTTAGAAAGCATTGTAAAGGTGGTTTCAACAGGCATCAGTCAAGATTTATGCCCTTCAGTCTTAAAGTGTTCATTGTCTTTTTGCAACCAGGAGAGAAAGAAAAAGTAAAGAGCAATGCAATATATATATATATATATATATATATATATATATATATATATATATATTGTAATAGAAATGAGAAAATATTATAATGAGCAACACCAACAAATGAAATTCATTTGGGACTCAGGTTACTTTTGCAGCAGCCCCCAAAGCTCCATAGTAGGGGTAAGTGTCCAGACGCAGGGGTAGGCAACCTTTCCCCTTTAAGGACCGAGGGACTTCAGTTCCCAGAAGCCTCAGCCATGTTGGCCAATAGTCCCATGTTGGCCAATAGCTCCTGGGATTCTGGGAGCTGAAGTCCCTCGGCCCTTAAAGGGGAAAAAAGGTTGCCTACCCCTGGTCCAGAGAGAAGACCCCTTTGTTGACCTTCTCCTTACTGTGCTTGTGGTCTATCCACAGATCGCTGCAGATCTTCAGAAGCACCCTGAAATCCTCAATGTTTCAGACAGTGACCTGCTGAACAATTTCATGGAAAGTAACTTCTCCTTGCCCAACACCAGCACTCTCCTGTCCCAGCTGGACACCATAGATAATGCTGCCTGCGGGTGGATACAGTTCATGTCCAAGGTGGGTCTTCCCTTTGTCCATCTCTGCCTCAAGGTTTTGCCTCATTAGTTTGGGTCTGGGTTTGTTGCTTGCAGGGAAACTTAACTTGACAAAATCTCCTTTCTCCCCTGCCAGGTCAGTGTGGACATCTTCAAGGGCTTTCCAGATGAGGAGAGCATTGTGAACTACACCCTGAACCAAGCCTACCAAGACAACGTCACCGTGTTTGCCAGTATGTTTTTGTCTTGGTAGTCTTGCCTTCCCTTCCAGAGAGTAGCTTGCAAGAATATTTAAGAAATTGCCTCTCCCCAAGTCAGAATGCAATTGATAGCAGCCTTGCCTGGTGCCAACACAACCAGATTAAATGGATTCCGTCCCCCCAAAAAACTTTGCTTCATCCTGGTACCCTCCAAAAGTATTAGACACCAACTCCCACCATCCTCAGCCCCCATGGCATTGAGATCCATTGCTGAGACACTTCAACCATGGTTGAGATTCTTCATCTTAGTGTCTTTGTATCAATGGTTGAGATACTTCAGCCATGATTTAATGAGGTGCCACTGAAATCCATGGTTGAGATCTTTCAACCCGGGTTGTGATCCTTTGCGACAAGGCACCATTGAGACCCAGTTGTTGAGATCTTTCCATCATGGTTGTGCTCTTGGCACCATTGAGATCCATAGTTGTGATGCTTTGTGACTTGCCGCCGGTGAAATCCATGGTTGAGATCTTTCAACGGCTATGGAGGGCCTTCTGTCATGGTTGCAATCCTTTGACCAGGCTTCATTGAGATCTCTGATCAGGATCCTTCAACCATGGTTGACATCCTTCACCCTGATACCACTGAGATGCAAAGTTGTGATCCTTCA